CCACCAATTACCAATTGGTTTTGGGTTGGAACCTCACTTGGATTTGATGGTGTGGGTTTGAGTCCAATCAATTTGCTCATTATTTTCCCTACAGGTAGAAAGGATTTTAAAAATGAGAATTTTTGTAGAAAAGGAGATGGCAGGCTCTAGTGTAAGTTGGAGTGACTGTTCGAGTCTCTTGATCTCCATTCTCTCGTTTTGTAATAACCAAGTTCAAAATAAAAATAATAAAATAAAATAAATAGTCCAAAGGTAAAGTGTTAGTCAAATATGTCAAGCTATTAAAAAAAAGAAAAAAGAAAAAAAAGGAAAGGAAAACAAACAAAATGGAAAAGTCAGGCGGTGGCCTTGAGACCCCTATAAACATTGAGTAGTGCTATGGGTAGTGGGCCGAGGCGCCCCTCCCATGGAGAGGCGCCACTTAGTCTCTATGTGAAGCATTATGTGTAGTGCTATGTACCCATAACACTACTCTCACTATTATACGCCTTTTTCACAGATTCCACACTAGCAGTTTCCTTTTCTTTTCGGATGACTAAATCAATTTATCAAGTCAATAGATCCTCTGATGTTATCAAAGAGATAATTGGACATTTTCATAATCGAAAAGGGAACTGAAACACCCATAGAGATAATCATTTCAATTAGAAAACCATGAATTCTCGTTCAATAATTTTGAAACTCATGTTGCTTGGGGCAATGCTAATGCCCACAATGATGGCTTCGGCATTTCAGCCCAGTCCATATTGTCCAACCAGATGTGGAGATATCCCTGTCCCCTTTCCGTTTGGAACTATTTCGGGTTGCCATCTTGATGAATCCTTCTTTATTAATTGCAATAAAAGTTACAATCCTCCCAAGCCATTTCTGAACTTCGGTGAAATTGAAGTTATTGACATATCAATCAATGGACAGATGAGAATTGCTGCTTCTGTGGCCAGTTATTGTTATGGAAAATCCGGTTCCCAAATAAATGGCAGCATCTCAAAGCTCGCCTTGTCCGAATTCCACTTTTCAAGAGCACGAAACAAGTTCACTGTTGTTGGGTGCGACACTTATGCAGTTATTGATGGTTCTGAGGAATGGAAGCAACGGAGTGCCGGGTGCGCATCGTGGTGTCATCGAATCGACAGCGTGGTTGATGGAACCTGCGCTGGCCTTGGCTGCTGCCAGACTTCAATTCCAGATGGAGTTAAGGACTTTTTGATCGACATTCGGAGTTTTCAGAATCACTCGAGGGTGAAAACTTTCAATCCATGTGGTTATGCTTTTGTAGTTGAAGCAGAGGCTTTCAACTTCTCATCTTCAGATCTCCAAGATTTGCAGGGCAGAAAGACTGTCCCTGTTGTGCTAGACTGGTCTATAGGGAACGTGACGTGCCTAGTAGCTCTAGAAGACCTCTCAAGCTATGCTTGTCGAGCTATGCGTAGTGAATGCATTGATTTAACCAACGGACTTGGTTATCGTTGCAATTGTTTAACGGGATATCAAGGGAACCCTTACCTTATTGATGGTTGTCATGGTAATAATTATATTAACACAATTAAGCTTGTTTTGTTATTGGTATACTACATAGTTTATTTATATTTGTTGTTACTATGTGCTTACATATAGATTGGCATTGCTCCAGATATTGATGAGTGCATTTCAAGACCATGTGAAGGAACATGCACAAATTTGCTGGGAAGCTATTTATGTTCTTGTCCTAAGGGGCTTGAAGGTGATGGAAAGAAAGGTGGCACAGGTTGTCATCCCAAAGATCAAACTAAGGTCTCTACCTTGATGTATATTGTTTCTGGTAAGTTCTTTAGTTTTTGTTTTTGAACTTAATTGATTGAAAAAAAAAACATTACTTTGTTAATGTTAGGATCTATTTGGCAGTGTTTAGAGGACTTATGATTCAAAACTATGTTGACAGTGAAGATAAATTAACTCAAAAATTTCCGTTTTTCAACCAGGTCTCATTTTTGCTGTTGTTGGAAGTTCTTGGATATTTTGGAAAAGCAAGAAAAACAAAGTCGTTAAACTAAGACACAAGTATTTCGAGAAAAACGGTGGATTAATTTTACAAAAAATGCTTTTGAGAAGGCAAGGACTTATAATTTTTACAGCAGAAGATCTCAAAAGGGCTACAAACAACTACGATGAGACTACAATCGTTTTCAGAGATAGCAATAGTGAACCTGTGGTTTACAAAGGAACGTTACCAGACGATGGAGTGAACAAACATTACTTTATCGAGAGGTATGAAACATTGTGTTCAGACTGCATTCAGGATTTCATTAGTAAATTGATCATACTTTCTCGGATAACCCAAGCGAATGTGACGAAGCTGATTGGTTGTTGTTTAGAGACACAAGACCCATTTCTAGTTTATGAGTTTTTTACCGGTAAGACATTGTACGATTTGATCCACGATCAAGAATATTTTCTTTCATGGGATCTTCGTCTCAAGATAGCCTTTGAAACAGCAAGTTCACTTGCTTACTTGCATTCTGCTGGGGAGTTGCCAATTGTTCATGGAGACATCGCCAGCTTCCGCATTTTCTTGGATTCTGGTTACAATGTGAAAATTTCACAGCCTTCACTCCGTGGATGTGTGTGTACACCTGACTACTTGTCTCCGGAGAATCATGCTTCAGAGTATTCGACGGAAAAGGGTGATGTATACAGTTTTGGAGTTGTATTGGCAGAGATATTGACAGAAGAGGTAATGGATTTAGATCAGCCGGAAGGAGAGAAAACTTTCGCTGACCATTTTGTATCTGCAGTTAGAAGAGATGGAGATCACCTACATGAAATTTTTGTACACCGTTTGCAAATGGAGGTTCAGTTCGAGCAGCTGAAACAAGTTGCTATGCTGACAGAGAGGTGCTTAAGAAGACTATCTAAGGAGAGGCCTACAATGAAAGAAGTGGCAATGGAGCTAAAAACTATTTTAAGCAGGCTTGAGCTCGACAAAGATAAAGCACGACTCAATCCAGGCACCACCTTCTTATAGGATCAAGTAACTGAACATGATTCAGCTGTTGCTGGACTCAAACTCAAATGAGGCGTTAATGTGCTAGAGCTGAAAAAATTATCATGTATTTGACACCTACTTTATTCACCAACGCCAACCCCCGCCCAAAGTCAGAGACTGGCACTATTGTAACTATTCTATTAGAATTGCTGGTTTTAGATAAATGGAAAGTTGACTACTATGAACTTGAATACAGTGCTTAGAGCAACTGTAATTTTCAAATACTTAGAAAATCTTTCAATCTCATGGAATTCGAGTCGATCCCCATGTTCTTAACAAGTTTTTGCTTCATTTTAGAATAACTGGTTTCAAATCCTTGGTCAATCCTTTTGTTAAGCAAGCTATTACTTTCAAGCTTTTATGGCTTTCAAAAAAAACCCAAGCTTGAGTCATCTTAAAATTCATCATTAAATCCTCAGTTTTTAGTAGGATATTATTGAGTTTATCAAGTTTGACTCAAATTTGTGAAGATAAAATAAGGAAAAAGTGTAGTGAAAACTCAAATTTTCTTATGGAGAAAGAGTTCAACCAGCGAGCGGCTGGACTAGATCTTTCTGCGCACCCCAGATATGTACATGGCTGGACAATGTATGTGTTGAAAATATACACTTTATTTATTTTAAGTTCATCTTTTCTTTAGCCAAGTTCATTCGTGTCTTTTGAGATTATTCATGTATCAGTAATGCACTAGTTTATTTATGTATTTGGAAAATACATGAATTATGAAAGGGATTAGTTTGCATTTAAATCTAGTGCATATATTAGATTAAATTATTGTTTTGTGAAGCCTATGAAAGACTAGTGATTGTACTCATTTTCTACTGGTCGTTTTTGGAGTGGTAAAAAAAAGAGCGAGTGTTATCTTGAATACTATCTTCTCCTCTTCTAAAAGTTGTAGTTCCATATACAAATTTTCAACAAAAGTGGTATCATATCAAGGTTATAAAAGTGTAAAAAGATGATAAGGCAAACAACAATTCTCTTCCCGTTCACCAACTCACTAATGATAACGATAGTACGTGTTATATTCAGAAGGCATATCTTCGAAGTCAAGATTTGTAGGATTTGGGAGAGAGAGATTTTGAACCTTAAAATAAAAAAGCCATGTCTCAAGCACAAAGAAACTTACAACAAGCAACTAATTAGGTAGGTTCAAAAGGCTCTTAGCACGATTCATCAAGCTCTTGATGATACATTTTTTTTTCAAAACGTGTCAAATACTACCACTTTAAAGCAAGCATGAGAGATTCTTGTAAATACATACAAAGATGTGAACAAATATCTATGTAGGAATCTGAATCAATTTCAGGTTACTTTTCGAGAGTATTAGTGGTTATCAATAAAATGAAAAGGGGCCCGTTTGATTCTCACTATTGTAAAATGAGAATGAAAAATATAGCCGTTATTGGTCCCACACAAGAGATATAAATTTCAAATTGATGGCTTGATGTGATAGATAACGATCATATTTTTCATTTTTATGGATGAAAAATGAAAAACAAATGGGGGGATAGTGAACAAGTACATGATATTTAAGTGAACGAAAACATTCTTCAATCCTTAAATAAAAATTCAATTTTATTACGATGGCAACAGAAAATTCAAAAGACTCGGAAGAAATGACCAATGATGAAGTTGTGGGCACACTACAAGCTCTTGAGTAGAAATTGTTAAAGAAAGAAAGAAAGAATTGGTCGAACAAGTCTTGCAAACAAGTTTTTATTTAAATGACCATGAAGAAAAGAGCAATGGAAACCAAAGAGGTAGATGACGTTGAAGAGGTCGTGGAAGAGGATTTACAAATTTCCAGCATCCATCAAATTATGAAGAGAAATTATGAATACTGACACGATTTAAGAGGGTGAGGAAGACATAATTAACAAAGAGGAAGAAAAAATATGAGAGATATAATAAATCTCAAAATGAATGTTATTGTTGGAGTATGACCCAAATTCTTATTGGGATTTGGATTTGGTTGATTAATTGATAAAAGGATCAAGAATCTTCTTGATTTGGAAGTCCGGTTGAAAAATGAATCAAAATTCATCAAGGATTGAAAGTTTGATTTGTAAAAAGACTTTGGACAATTGAATACTTTATTTTGGAATGTTGGACAGCAAATTAGCGCTTGGATTGGGTCACCTAGGCACCCATAACAAAAGAAACGGTGAAATTTGGCCCGAGACCTCGCCTAGGCGCCATGGTTGCGACATTCGAGCATTGAAACTAATACTCGAGCAATATTTAGTGGGTGTTTGGTGGGGATTAAAATTAGTTTTTAAGTAGATTGTGATAGAATTTTTTGAAATATGTGGTTGAAAAGCTGTAGGACCTATGAAAGATGTGGTTAATATTGATTGTTTGACTTTGACTTAAATTAAAATCTGACTTTAATCAGAAACAAACAAGGCCTTAGTTTGGCTATTGGTGAATAATCTCCAAATAGTCTATACCATATGTCTATGTAAACCCCTTCGCCATAAGTCTCGCCTTATCTCGATCAATGGATCCGTTAGCCTTGTATTTTATAAAGAAAACCCAATTGCACCCACTATCTTTTTCCCATCTAGTCATGGGCGGACCCATGGGGGGTCCTGGGGGGCACGTGCCCCCCCAACTTTCAGATTTTTTTTTTTTTTGGTAAAATCACGTTTGGTATCGATTGAAATTTTAATTTTAATCTAAAT